TTTTATGTGGTACCTATACATTGAAACATTGAACAAAACGTTTGTAAATAGATAAAATTGAGAATGGAAATGGGGAATGTGTCAAAGAGACAACAACCCGACCATAGAACAGACAACAGCAGAAGGCCACCAACAGGTCTTCAATGCAGCGAGAAATTCCCGCACCCGGAGGCGTCCTTCAGCTGGCCCCTAAACAAATATATATACTAGTTCAGTGATAATGAACGCCATACTAAACTCCAAATTGTACACAAGAAACTAAAATTAAAAATAATACAAGACTAACAAAGGCTAGAGGCTCCTGACTTGGGACAGGCGCAAAAATGCGGCGGGGTTAAACATGTTTATGAGATTTCAACCCTCCCCCTATACCTCTAGCCAATGTAGAAAAGTAAACGCATAACAATACGCACATTAAAATTCAGTTCAAGAGAAGTCCGAGTGTGATGTCAGAAGATGTAACCAAAGAAAATAAACAAAATGACAATAATACATAAATAACAACAGACTACTAGCAGTTAACTGACATGCCAGCTCCAGACTTCAATTAAACTGATTGAAAGATTATGTCTTCATCATATGAATATCAGGCACAATCCTTCCCGTTAGGGGTTTAGTATCATACCATCATAACATATATGAGAAGAACATAACCCGTGTCATGCCAACAACTGGTTTTTAAATAAATGTGTTTAGTGCCGATGCAAAGACCCTATAAGTAAATCAATATTATGTATGTGTTTACAGATTACGATACAGAATAGGTTCAATTCATTGTTGAAGGCCGTACATGTATCTTTAGTTGCTTGTATACAGATGTCATTTTGTCTCCGGTTGTTTATTAACTTATATTTCGTTTTTGTTATCAAGACGAAATGAGTAAAGGGAAGTAACGATAATTACTACAGAACAATTAAACACGGGATAAAGAAAAGTAAACAATTCGAAAATGTTGTAGTTTTGCAATAAAATGTAAATCATGCAATAATTACACGCGCATGTAAATTTTTTAAGCACACAAATGGAGAACACATCCCAACTTAACATTGAATTATGAGAAAATTATGACTTAATAAAACAAAAATCCTATAAGGCCGTACTTATTAGACTGGCATTAATTTGCGCATGGCGAAACAAACTGGAAACAGATTTAAGAAAGGACACATATTTGAGGCCGTATCTTTTTAAACGAACATAGATTTGCGAATAACGTCACGACTGAAAACGTCAAGACATTTAGGGATGAGGTCGCAGACAGGTCAATCGAACTTGCGCTTGACTTTCTATGTTTCCAATCTCTTGAGTATGCACTTCTGTGGGTGGGCATGATTTTTATTTTGCTCCGTATATTCTAATAATCATCTGATAAGTAATTCAGAGGAATTTTCGTTAAATTACTATTGATACTTATTCCAATATATGAGTTTATGGGAAATTCGATGATCATTTGAAATCTAAATAAACTCGCGTGGCTCAAAAGGTCATCGTGAGCTATTGCCATCCTTTTGCGTACGTCGTCCGTTAAATTTTACAAAATTCTTCTCTTTTTGAATATACTAGCACAAGTGCAATCAACTTGGCTCAAATCATCTTTCGGGTATATAGTTTAAAATGTGTCCGATGAAAACAACGACCAATCAGCATGGCTGGCATGGTTTAAAAAACAGAGTGGTAATATGCAAGTGTTGTTTATTATCTTACAAACTGTGTTGAGAAGAGAAAATCTGAAATGATTAAAATGTTCAAAATGTCAATTTTGGAAGAAAAAAATCCCATTCAGACTTCTTATATGAGTTAATGCTCCTGAAAGATAATTTTTACCAATTGTTACGCTTTTTCTCTTATTATGAAAACAATAATGATAAGTAGAGATACTTAAGAAAAAAAATCGACAAGAGGAGATCTGCAAATAAAATAATATGGCAGAAATCGTTAGTCAAATCTTGATCGGAGTTATTTTCCTTAAATGACGATTTGTTTTCTGGATGTTTTGCATATTTGGTTGAAATCATAGTTGATAGGTACGCAGCTTATATGATCAGCAAAATGAGATTTACTAACAAGTCAAATATTTAAAATCGTCAGTTGACTCATTATAGGAAAAAATGCTCTTAAAGGATGAATATTTTAAATCAATTTCAGTTCTTTTGCCAATATATTCAGAAAACAATGTTATATGGATAGACATTGGAACAGCTAAATTGATCAGTACCACAACATCTTTAAATAAATCAAATTATTGAAATTATGAATCATTTGATTGCCCGTAAATTCATATGTAATAACTTTATAACCTACTAACTTAAAAAAAATATTATCGATAGGCAAAAACTATATACATCAAAAGTTGTCAGCAAGGTAAGATTTTGGTCCACACAGTTCCATGCTACACACATATTCTTGCTGCACTGTATCTATTTAATGACAAAATACTAGGTGAGCAATATAATCTACTTGGGGTCTCCAATTGTGTAAGCCTAAATAAAGTAACTTAAATATGAGTTGATTGAACTTTCTTTAAAAATATCCGAAACAGTTTCTGGCCTAAATGAATAAGATATATCAAGTTTATTACGTCACCTTAGATTATATATAAAATAGTATCCAGCAAACATATACTGTAACTTTTCTCTTTCGCATCAGTGGATGGCGTGACATACTCATTTTAATTATTTTGTATCCATGCTAAAATATGAGAAAGTTCACAAAACCTTATTTAAACTACAATATATGTACAACTTGTTATTCTCAATATGCACCTAGTTTGCTTCACTTTATCGTGTATTATTTATTGTCACAGTATGATAACGGGTAAATTTAATTGGTATTTTTTTTAAGTTTCATTTTTATTTTTCGCTTAGTGATGTCATAATAATAAAAAGAAAATTAGATAAATTTAAACTAGTCAAAGTTGTTAGCATCCTCGACGACTATCTGTTGTTTTTTTTGTAGACAAGGACAAAAAAAAACATTCTCTCCACAAAAGACCAAATGACACTGATCAGGGAAGTACAGAGTTATTGTAGGAATGTATTATAAGATCGTATTAAATGTTAAATGTCGATTTCTTTGTCAAATAAAAATGCAATAAAAGCAGATATTTTCACTGGTGTTATTTACAAATATACACAAAAACTGGACCGTTTCGAGTGACTTAAAAAATCTTATCTTGATCCTTATTGCATTCTTTACCTTCTCCTTAAATTTGGTACGCACTACTAAAACGATATTTGAACACAAGTAATCGAGAGATGAAAACAGAACAAGCTAAACCCAGTAACATGCTAACATATATTTCAGCTCGCTGTTTATCAAATTGCACTAGCAAGTTCGTGCAACGTGTTATAATTACATTAGATGTATGTTTCATTATTATACGTTATTTTGATTGGCTAACAGCAATCTCGCGTCATTCTTCATTTCAAAATTTCAAAATGAATTTCATGAATTGTAACATACATGATGACACACGTTTCTACAATAAAATGCACAGGTAAATAAAAGAAAAAAAATGATAGTAATCGTGTTTTCATGATCATCGCGAAAAAAATGTAGTTATAAGTATTGAATGCTTCTTTTAGTAATTTCATAGGGTTGTAAAAGCGTTGACCGTGCGTACATTTTTAGAATGAAGCGCTTCCGCGCTTCATACAAAATGTACTTCGGTCAAAGCTTTTACACCCCCAATGAATTTACAAAAAGAAGCATTCAATTCTTAAATACAGCGCAGAGAAAAATATTCCTCAATACTAGTGCAATAAAGGCAACAGCAGAATACCGCTGTTCGATAGTAATATAACTTATATTATTGATCACTCCCTGTTTGTGGTGGGGTTCGGGTTGTCTAGTCTTAAGTTTTCTATGTTGTGTTTTAGGCTTATGTTTGTCTTTTGGTCGCTTTTCGTTTTTTGCCATGACATTATCAGTTTGTTTTCAACTTATGTCTTTGAATAATCCTTTGATATCTTCCGCCTGTCTTTTATTGCACGCTGATTTTGGTTGTGTCGTGTATAAATATATGTTGTTCTTCTACAGGTGCTAGTAAACATTTATACTGCCAATATTTTTTTCTTTCCGAACGATATGTCATTCTTTTGACACACCACCAAGTTTCAATGAAAAGTGCATCAAGGCATAACATAATGACCTCCGTAAGGTCATTATTTACCCCGATTATAATGCAAATTACAGTTTCTTCAAATATCATTTGGATAGTTCTTGTGTTGTTTTTTTTTCAGTTTTCTTCACAATTTTTCATTTAGATATTCTTGTTTTTCAGTAGAAACAATCCTTTACTCCATTTATTAAACTGAAATACTAGCACCAGAAAACGTCTTAAACGCACAATTATGCGAGATAAAATTATATTATATTCTATCCGGATTCTCAATGATTTAAGAAAATTCATATTGCCAAGCAAAAGAAAGAATAAATTATTCTTAATAAGTTACTTTTAAATTCATGAAGTAATGTACAAATTGTTTACCAAGTGTCTTGTTGGTTTTTTTTTTATCATACACCGAAACAATTGTTTCATTTTTTACTCCATGCAATTACAGCAACATTTCAATTTAACTGGAAAGTGTTATATAACTTTATTTCTAGATACGTGATTTTAATTCCACCTTATAATTGAGCCTTTGGGCGTTGTTACACCTTTACGGAAGAAAACATAGTATCCCACTTTAATGTGATCAGCAAAATAAGATACATTTTTCCGCAAATCTTACAGAAAATAAAATATTTTTGGCGGTACATGAGTCAGATAATGCAAATTTAAGGTTTTTCTTGTGGTATAATATACGTTGGGTTACATGACAAGAACAACCTTAAAATGTCTTTTACGTATTTTAGAATTAAACAAACGATCTGATAAAAGGACTTGATGAACAGAAATCTCGATTTTTTTTTATAACATTTAAAAATCTCAACCTTTGAACCCCAAAAGAATTTCACTTCCGCATTTTATACAAACAAGTTCCTAGTGTTTCATATGTAAATTACCTATTAAGTATCATAGGGAAGCAGAAAAGATATACATGTATAATATTCGTAATGAAATGAGATTTTTTTAAATAGGTCTGTTTCTTATTTAGTTGGCACGAAAATGCACCAAAGGGTAAGTTTGATAAATATCTATCATTCTGGAAAAAAAAATGTTACAGTGCTTATTTTGTTTGAATGATAATAATATATCATGCTATGATTACATTCTATTATGCTACATGTTATATTTACATAGAACGTTTTCAAACAAAGAAATAGTAATCATAACTTAATTTCAGTATAAAAGCATATAACTCTAACATATCTAAAGATACTGTAAATACATGTATTATAATTATGAGTAGCCGTTCGTGTCATTTGCGGGATATTCTATCGCGTTAGTGAAAATAACGCGTTATTTTGTAAAACTATCGCGTTACTTTGTTAAACTAACGCGTTATTTCTTCATTTTACCGCGTTAGTGTCCAAAACTAGCGCATTATTGCACAAAACTATCGCGATATTTTGCTATTTATTTGAATTATTATCAAACTAACGCGTTAATTTTCATAAATAACGCGATATTTATTAATAACGCGATAGTAACAAATAACGCGTTATTTTGTAAAACTATCGCGTTACTTTGTTAAACTAACGAGTTATTTTGTAAAACTATCGCGTTACTTTGTTAAACTAACGCGTTATTTCTTCATTTTATCGTGTTGATGTCCAAAACTATCGCGTTAGTTCTACAAATGTAATATAACGTGATATTTTATTGGAAATACACGATACGTTTTGTTATTTTTCTGAATGTCATTATCCAATCAAAAGTGCTGTTCCTCTGGACTGAATCCGTAGAGGCAGGGAACACGTGAATTGGCTACTTAATATCAAAATGTCTTTGGCGCAAATTCATGGATTGATCAACTGGGCAAGAGAGAGCTAGGACTGCTCCAGAGCCAGAACACGAAGATGAGGATTTCGTTTCAGGGTAATTCCTATTTTCCCTTGTTCTGGCTAGGGGTTTGGAAGTGCGTGGCCCAATTGTGTTGATGCAGACGATGATGTTGAAAAAAGGGGGATGTACAGCCCGGGGAACACAGGCACTTGTTTTATTCGCATAAAAAACAAGGGTAAGCGAAGGCGGTTTAATCGAATGAAATCAGCGCATTTATACCCAGACACCACAATATTAGACAGGCGCAGTGCTACCTTGTCCTTAATGATATATGCCCGACAGCAAAATAAATGCTTCTGCTAAAAGTCAATATCTAGGACCAGGAGCGTTTCTATGATATTTGAAAGAGGGGCGTAGAATCAAATCTTTCGCCGAGCGTAGCGAGGCGAAAACAATTTTGGACCTTTTTTTTTGCTAAAAAACATAAAATACAATTTTTTTTAAAAGGGGGGCGTACGCCCATTACGCCCTCACCTGGACCCGCCCCTGACTGGACATTACAGTTCAAAAACGGATTTTTTTTTATTTCTTAAGCTCTATTCACTGTATTGTATTTTTTAGATACCACCTTAATAAGATGAATTTTGTTGTATGTCTTCATAAGAGATATCTTACAATAAAATGTCTTACAATGGTCAGCAAATGTGGTTTTGAAAATAAGACAAACAGTATTTTAATGATAATGTCCTAGATCCTGACTTTAGCATTTGATACAATTTCGTTATAAGGTGGTTTTGAAAATAAGACATAAAGTATTTTAATGGGAATGTCCTAAATCTTGACATTAGCATTTGATACAATTTTGTTTTAAGCATGTAATATATTTTTACGCCAAAATTATCCAAACCTATTAATGGAGGGAGCTTGATTAATATAAGGGAAATATTGTTTCCAAATCCGTTTGTATTTATGTATTACTGCATTTATATGTATATGTAAAGTACATGATTTTTTTAAAAATTAGAATATGTTTAAATTTAAGTAAACTTATTAATGGATACCAATATTACGAATATGTTTCTTGTGAATGAAAGATTTTTAGACCCTCATGTCTTCTTCTTAAATGTTCTTGGTGTAGCACTACTATAATAAAGCAAATACATGTATTACTGTAAGCAACTGTGTGTATGTGGAGGAAACAATTTAATAGGACGACTTTTTAAGCTTCCTGATATATGATAAGAAAATGAAATTCAGATGAAAATATTGTTAAGGTCATTTTAAATGGGTATTGATATTGGTGTATTTAAATAATTTATATTTTATAAAGATGGGTTGTCGTCGGATGGCCCAGAGGCTCACCCGTTACCAGAAAAAAGTATGAAGTGACACCACCACCCTCCCCCCCCCCCCGAAATATAAAGGTATAGACATGGAGTTGTCATATTCTCTAGACGGCTTATAAAATTAATAATTTTGTGTGGCTGTATTCTTTGTTATCAAACATTGCATCATCTATCCTCCAACCGATGCCGAACTGCCTTAGCTTCAATATATAGTATGCTGTGTTTCAACCTTAGATTAAACACAAACTTAGATTGAACCCACGAAAAGGTATCACCCGGCTACCGAAAGCTTCATTTTTATCAAGCCTTGGTGGATAGAGTGGTACAGGCACTGAGCACAGTGCTGGCGACTTTGCCGTTGATATTTGAAACAGAGGACGGACTGTAAGAGTTATTACTTAATGGAAAAAATATTCAAGAATAGCTACACGTGACAGTTATATACCTTGTTTATTCTTATTCCTAGAAAGTATTTCCTCCTTCATATCTAGAATGCTGGACTTAAACTCATCTCCTTCGTCCCGAGTTAATAGCGTGTCAACACTCCTATCAATATCCCTTGTTAATTGCTCCAATCTATAAAGAAGTGACACTCGGGTTTTAAAATTACTAAGACTTCCATGCACTTTGTTTGACAGTTTGAAAGAATTATTTTCTTAACCCTTTTAGTAAATATCATAACAATAACCCCACCAATTTTATTGTAAGCTGAATCTTGACAAGGAGCAAGAATATTTATTGGTTATTGGAAGGATGTGAACGAAGTACTAAAAATAAGAAACGCAGATACAAGGTTGCCGAAATCTTAATATAGGATACAACTTGGACGTAAACTTAACCAACATTTTTTATTGACGTAAAACTTAACGATTTAGTCATTCAACCATGATATCAATTGTTTGCCCGAGTGATGGCTTCCCCCACCTGCATATCAAGTTTCATGATTCTAGGTGCCATACTTCCTGGAACTGAGCACGGAAGCGCACTCACGAGGATGAGGATGCGGAAATGGACGCCGAGGCCTACCCAATTGTCCACATCGACTTCGTAGAGGCCTACTAAAATCATCGATCAAGTCACGTAATGAGAAACACAATTATATTGGTGTTTTGGGACGGGATCAACAATATTTTTTAGACTTCCCCATTGACAGACTTAGACAGTACATAAAGAGATGGCGTGTTAAGCTGTCGTTTGGACGTTGTTAACGGCTCTATGTCATCTTATTCATTAACTGTTTACACCCCCCCCCCCCCCCCCCCCCCCCCCCGACCCCCTTCCCCCCACGCACACACACACACACAAACGAAGGGATCCACCTCAATCTATTGTATTGTAGTTGAAATCAATTCAAATTATTCAATTTTTACCTGAAGTTAATGTTTGCTAGAATTTTCGTCTCTGAAATATCTGATGCGCCCAATCTGAAGCAATAATCTACCGTCTCTTCTATACTTTGCAAAAATCTATCGCGGTCTCCTTGGATTCCAGCCATTTTTTATTCTAATGCCAAAACATGGAAATAACACAAGCTCTCATTGGATCATACTTATTCTTATATGACGTCCTATTATCGTCAACCAGTATAATCACAATATATCTACCTTTAGCGCAAACGCAGTAATACACAAACACGGCTGTTCCGCGTTACGACCAACTTATTTAAACGACCAGCTATTCTCAATTTTCTACATCAAAACCCCAAGTTTACGTAGGCCAAGATTCAGATACAATATATCTATCTCTATTCTACAGCAAAATAAACAAATCAGTCCATTTCAATTTATTTTTCATGGTAAAATTTCATAAAACGAAAATTCCGCGAAATGATGTTATTGTCTTGGCATGGCAACGAAACAAGGTGACGTCACAAGTATGTTTTCGTAAACAAAAAATCAAATGTAAATACCGGGCGTTTTAAAGCTTCTTGTACGCCTCAGAACGAATAAAATTACATTGGAAGAAAATATATAAATGAAAAATGCGATTAAAAAAAAATAATCATTGAATTATATGGTATTACTAATATTATCAAAATTGGGTAAAACGGAACAGCCAAAACAATATCGTATGTATAGGGCTTTCACGGTTAACAAAATTACCGAATTTGTCCTATTAGAATCGAAATAATTCATGGTAGCCGTAGATTTGTTTTCATTTAACCATGGGTTGGGCATTTATATTCGTATTTTACCCTTCGCTAACGCTCAGGGTAAAATATTCGAATATAAATGCCCAACCCATGGTTAAATGAAAACAAACGCTCAGGGTAAAATAATCGAATATAAATGCCCAACCCATGGTTAAATGAAAACAAATCTACGCGGCTGCCATGAATTATTTCTTAATTCGCGTATAATTGCGATAGTTTTCATAAAATGAAGAAATAACGCGTTAGTTAAGAAAGTAACGCGATAGTTTTACAAAATAACGCGTTATTGCTTGAATAAATAATATCGCGTTAATTATGAAAACTAACGCGTTAGTTTGATAATTTTTCAAATTAATAGGAAGAATAAAATATCGCGATAGTTTTGTATAATAATAGTATATATAATAGTTTTGGAAACAAACGCGATAGAATGGAGAAATAACGCGTTAGTTCACTAAAGTAACGCGATAGTTTAGTAAAATAACGCGATAGAATATCCTGCAAATGACACGAACGGCCACTCATATATAATCCCCATTCATTCATGTGTACCCACATGAAGCGCATGCAATTGTTGTTCAACATTACGCGATTCATGGTTTCCATTGCTGTAACATAATTTTGGATTAGAAATTATGAATTACTTTTCTCTTTTGGTCATAAAGCTTGATGTGTTGACGCAGTTATCATACGGCCTGGTCCTCATTTTTCTTTCAATTTTTATTTGAGCGTTCTAGCTTACAACATTAAATATGATATAATTAGGTAATACAAATTAATAAAATATAATTAAGAATTAAATATTCATTAAAACAAATGTTCCAATAAATTAACTTAAATATAAATAAAATCCATGTTTTCTTACGATCTGTTTGTAATAGTTACTGTGAGCACATTCGATGCGCAGTCAGTTCAACATTTTCTTTTGATGTATGTAATAAGATAGCGGAACTCCACCCATCAAACCAAGATAGAAAGAATTTCTTTAATGCATTTCATATAAACCTGTTTTACAACTGCTATGATAATTTTGCACATAAAAATAGAAAAAAACTATTAACACAGGGAAAACCTTTTTTATTTCCATTTTGAAATTAATGATAATAAAAAAACATTTGATATATGTTCATATCTATCTTTCGAGCATTATCATGATCTATACATGAAGTTGGCTAATCTTTTTAGGTTCCTTTTTGTTCATATAATTTGAAATGTGGCTACATTTTTTCATACCTGGCTTTCAAATGTGAAGGTTTGAGCAATCCAGATGAAGGTAAATCCAGAAATGCTTTTCGGACGCATGAAGTTTTTAAGTTGTTATTTTCATTTTGAATCATAGACAAAGTATTCAAAATATGATTTCAGTACATAAATTGAGTCATATATAGACGAAATGATCGTCTGATGTACTAAATTTAAGCCTGGTTTTATGAATACAAACCATAGAATATTATACGATATTGTAAATAATGTTGAACATTTAAGCACAAATTACAAATAACTCTTAATTTTGATTAAATGACGTTTCATAAACCGTAAGAGCCTCTTAAAATCGGTATGAACCTCAGCTTTGCTTCGGTCGATATACAATTTTTTGGAGATGATCGCTTCGTTCATTAATTGTATTATGACTCCCAACCGTAATGAATTATATGTTAATCATTGAAAATGTTTATTTTCGACTAGTATTTGACTTTAAATTTGATAATTATTTTTCACCCTTTGCTACAAAAGTTGGTATGTGATAGCTTAAATCCTATTAAGTCATTATTTGCAATCCTATGCTATAGCTTTCGATCTCGATCCATTTAATTGTATGACTTTCAAGATAATATATACGTCACCAAAATACGTCACTGTTTGTGGTGTTCTGTGATGTCGTTAATGGAAGATGTTCGTTGTTAATCTGCGGTTTACATGTTTCTAATGTACGATTATATTATTTATGTATGCGTTTCTCTGTGCTGAGTGTTGTTTGTACTGTATTCCTGTCACGTAATGTTGTAATTTTAGCGATATTTTTTTAACTTTGCCATATAAGCGGGAGGTTTGGCTAGCCATAAAACCAGGTTCAACCCACCATGTTTTCCTAAAATGTCCTGTACGAAGTCAGAAATATGGCAGTTGTTATCAAATAGTATGTTGGCGTTTGTTTTTGTTGCGCTTCGCTGTTTCTGTTGTTTTCCTGTTATATTTGATGTGTTTCCCTCGGTTTTGGTTTGTAACCCGAATTTGTTTTCTCTCAATCGATTTATGACTTTTGAACAACGGTATACTACTGTTGCCTTTATTAAATTAAAGCACTTTTTTCACGAGGAGACCAAATATAATGTATAATGTAATATTATATTGTTATTCAGGGTAGTTAACTCAGAAATGTAAATGAATATTTTATTTTTGTGGAAAAAATATTTAGATATTTCGCAAAACACAACTGACATTGAAAGATGCACGTTGCCAATGATAGTGAATAAAAGCCAACCAATGTCAACATGGCTAAATTATATATTTAGCAATGATTTGAGTACGAAAAATACTAATTCTGAAATTTAATACAGAAAAAAAAGTTTCATGAAACAAATTGTCACAGTAGACGCGACTATTATGTTTAAGGAAGGAATAAGTTATGTTTTAAAAATAATAATGACTCTCTAACTGATTAGAAGAAATCAATGAAATTTTCCTACTGTGAACTTTCCTAATCTGATAAGAAACATATGCATAAGGGATATATATCCTGCAATTGATATGATATTCCAGGTCTTGCCTTTCTTTTATAAGTTCATAGAGACAGGACTGCTACATTACAATTGCAAAGTTTATGTATTTAATTCGAAAGTTTTATATCCAAAGCAACCACCCCTACCACCGACAGTGAATCCTATACAAAAGCTTTTTCTTATGCATGATTAAGAGTTTCTCTGTCATGTCTGATATAATCCCATGTCTCGTGTGAGAAAAATTTCCACAGTTGCAGCATATTAAAGAACACTTGTAACGTATCTGCAAGGATTTAGTTCTGTTGGTGGCATTTTCTAAGGAAAATTTCTGACTATTTAACATACCCTCTTTGTCCGGTTTAAGTATAATTCATGCCCTTCATACTGTTCGACCTACTTTTTAGAATCTACATATTTATTTTGTAGTCAGTTAGTTTCGTTCTTGATATATACTAACATTTGCAACTGCACATTAAGAAAGCATAATTCAATAAATCTGACTCTCTTTATGTAGCACTTTTCGAAGTTTTATATATATTCTGATGACTATATCCCCGGTTTTCTAGATGGCCTTTTTTGTCTGTCAGTGAGTATCACCGCAATTCTTTTAAAGGACAGTCTTCTTTAATGATTATGATGAGGCAAGCCAAGTTTTGTCTAAACTGTTCCAGTGATTTAAGATGGAACGATAGACATCAATATAATTGATAATAATCCCAGGGTATGCTGAGCTAAGATATAGCCAGAAAACAATATTTCACAACCAAAACATAATCTAAGTAAGTTCTTATTACAAAACATTAGAAACTTACTTCTCGGACTCAGATTCACCGAGGTCCTTAGTAACGTCTTATGTACATCAAATTTATAAAAAAAAAACTCATACGTAACAACACATATTACAGTAAAAACACAGTTTTGATCACCTAAATCATAGAAAGAGTATACTGGGCAAAAAAATGAAGGACCACTTCCATTTAACATAATAATACTGGTACCAAAACTATTAAGACATATAACACGAAACCTAGTAGGATGTATTATCAATATTGTAAACAATTATCCACAATTATCTCGTTTTTTAAATTAAAAACTTTCATGTTTTCATAAATCAGCATTTTCCAAAAAAAAAATCGCCATTCTTTCTATTTCGCCACCTGATTACCACAGCTTAGAAATTAAACAGAATTTTTCTGATGGTTGTGGCCTGTTATCTATTTCTTGCATGAAGGGATATTTCTCGTTTTACACTGCACGGAGTGTGATATGAAAAAGTGATACGAAAACTGCGTTAATTTGATTGGCTTATTCAGCATCATTAGACGATATTACGACATTTTTATTGGCTATTCGTTAGGTCATTGGTGACTTTCAAAGGTTACGACGATGTGCATTTCATCCATGGCAACGGACATATGCAATTTCTTCAATACTATACAAAATCCTTACACTTTTCACCTGGAATTAATTTTTTTGTTAAATTTTATTTCATTCTGAAGAGTACAAAACGTTTTTTTTACACCAGGGTTTTCAATATCACAAACTTGTCAAAACATTTACTAATGTACCAAATCAGGAGCCTCTGGCCTTTGTTATTCTTGTATATATATATTTTAATTTTGGTTCATTTATATGTTTCGGAGTTTAGTGTGACGTCCATTTTCGCTGAACTATAACACATTTTTATTTAGGGGCCAGCTGAAGTCCGCCTCCGAGTGCGACATTTTCTCGCTGTGTTGAAGACCTTTTGATGGCCTTGGGCTGTTTTTTGCTCTTTGGTCGGGTTGCTGTCTCTTTGATACATTCCCCATTTCCATTCTCAATTTTAAATTGCCAAAAATATTTAATCAGTTTGTACTTACAACGAAACAGGGGAAAATATCGGCGAGCCTCGATTTTTTAATGTTTCTTAAGCTAGTACAAATAAATTTGATATATTCCTATATTTAAATTGTCTATTATAAAGAAAAAAATCTTTCAATTCACCACTTGAAACTCTTGGTTTAATAGCTTCCTTGTTATCAAAAACCCTCAATCAAGGAACTAATGATAGGAAATGCAAGTATTCTTTGTGCATTTTTTTTTTATAATTTTTTGTCGAACTATGAGCAATCATGTTTTGAGTGCCTGCAATAGTTCTCTATGTTAATTATTCTGAGTTTAAATGAAAAGTAGAAGTTATAGGTTTGTGATATTGACTTCGAATGACTTTTTTTTCTTAGTTGAGGTCACTTGCCCTTGTTTTTGTCATATCTTTTTTATGTAATGATTAAAAAAACTACTTTATTACAGAAATAAAGCATGGACTTAATCGATAAACTGGAAGAAACAGCAAAACCAAATGAGAATGAAGAATGGCACAAGAGTATAATTGGAGGTTGCAACGAGTCTGCAAAGTATTTTACAAGTGATTATGAACGCTGTGAAATGGTAGGAAGTACTGTAGATGGAACAAGACTGCGTTCCAGAACGGATGATGGTGACTTCGATTTCATAGTGTCCTCTTGCATTCCTATATCTTCCAACATGATTGAGCAGCATTCTACAGTCCCATGTTTTGTTAAAATAATAGGAGCAAAACTAAATCCTTGTCCCAGTCTTATCGATGGATATTTACCAACAAGTATTTTAAAAGAAATGAATATTGATTTCTTCCCAGTATTCAAGTTATTTACTGATTTTATAAGTCCGTCTGTGTATAATTCGTCTGGAAATGGTTATATACATTCTAAGACACATGAAACAAGCTTAGGAATGTCATCAACAAACATTCGAACTAGTCCTCAAAACTTTCAGTTCAATTCGGTCTATAATCGATTGCCTTTTAGACTGAGGGTAAAGTTGTTTTACTTTAAGCTACGGTATAGATATGCCTTTTCAACGCTTAGGTTAGTTGTCGAAGAAATTGAAAAAAAGCGAACTGATAGACTGAAGAGTGGAATTATTTATCAGATGGTCGCAAGCTCGAATAATTCAGACAATCACACGTGTCAGACAACCAATCAAGATACCTTCATTGGGACAAAATTCAAATACGATATAGTTCCAGTATTTCGTTTAACTGACCCAGAGAAATTACTTGAAAAGTGGCAGAAAAGATCTAGAAAATGGCCACCTAAAGAAAGTGTAGATCAAATTATCGAAATGCCAGTGTACTTAGCTGCCAAAAAAGCGTTGAAAGCAAGTCGGGAGGAAGTAGACTTTTGTCTTAGTTTTTGTATGCTGGAAATTACATTAGTACATAACTTTACACCGTTACAAAAATACACATTTCTTTTGCTTAAAGCTATCCACAAGGGTTACTTGTCGGAATACGCGGAAATTCTAACAACATATCATTGGAAAACAGCATATTTTTTATATTGTGAAAATCATGAATTTGATGAATTAAAAAAAGACAACAAGGAAGTATGCCCCTTTGACGAAGTGTCACGCGTTTTGTGTTTCATGAAGGAGTGTTTAGATTTAAGAAAACTCGACCATTATTTTATTGAAAGCTGTAATTTGTTTACAAGTCTTCCAATTGAAACGATAAAGTGTATTGCTGAAAACATTTCCCCACTTCAAGACACTGACAGTATAAAATGTTCAGTAAATATGTTTTGGGAATTAGATCACAAGCAAGAAATCCATGACGAAATTGTGGATCAGCAAACTCAGGAGCAGTCTAAAATAAAACTAGTAAATGCTGTCAAAGAGATGCTTAAAATGATGAGCAAAAACAGATCTCAAACTGAGAAGGCAAAAGATGACTTTCTCTCTTACGTGTTTAAGGTTACAAACTGCAAAACTTATCAGCCTCATAAGTGAAAACTTTTTTCCACACGTTAATTGAATTGTCGTATGCTATCCTGGTATGATGAGTTTGTGCTAAAATTTCCCATCAAATTTATCTTTTGCCCAAGGTCTTTCGTTAAATCATTAGAGTAATACATCCAGCCATTTTCCCCACTAATTCTTGTGGTTATCCACCTGCAATAGTTACATTTCTAAACGCAATTAGAACACAATCTCAACATCTCAACGGGATAAATACCATAATCAAAGGGCTATCATGGTAGAATCTATGGTCTCGATTTCTTCCCGGGGATTCAGTTGAGCGATAACATTCGACTATCCCAGGTTTTAGTCGAAATTATTCGTTTGAACCACAAACCTTACAGATCAGGCTGTTTTATTGAACAACGTACAGGTTTGGTTATTGATATTTTCAACTCCGTCTAATGTTAAAGATGAATATTATGAAGAAGTTTACAGTTTCTGAATAACAATTATAATATTTGAATTGATTGAAATTCCTTGATAAAGGGGCACTAGCTACGAGATATATATATAAAAAAAATTGAAATATGATTTTTTTGTTTAATCATTAATGAAAGTGAAATAGTGAAATGATTATTCGCTTTTAGCAGCCAGTATGGTTCAATTTTGTCAAAATAAACTAAGAAACATCGATGATGAATTATTCACTTGCAAGTGAATAATTCGACCTCATTGAATCCGTATTCATGTGACCTTCAATTTAACCCCTTAACTAGAGATGGATTACGCATGAATTATGCGTGTTCAGTTATTAAAAGTATAAGAATGTGAACATTGAAAGTGAAACAAAGGTAAATCATTTGATTGACAGATTCGATCCACAAAAACTCTTATACATGTAAAAAACGATAATTAACTTATTGTTTTAACCTATAACATGAAATCAAACAGACATAGAAAAATCCAATTGCACGAGGTCGCTATATATTATATGAATGTTTATGTTTATATCGTGTTATGTGACAGTCGGCATTTTTCATAGGTCATCTCGATAGTTAATTAGATGGCGTCTAGACTAAAATACCAAAGAAATTCAGATATATATTATCTAGTATATGCATTGTTAACTGTTTATTTCAGACTTATTGTAATTTGATATGTATTTTAGTATGTTATAAATAAAATATGAAAATTTGAGTCAAATCGATGAACATGATTTTGACAGCTAGTGCCCCTTTAAGGCAACAAGAATCTGTTATTCTCTACTAAACTAGCATGCTGATGATTTTTCAAATACATACCAAATATCAATGGTATATCATAATACTTTATGATAAGCATCTATAGAATCAGAAACAGAAAGTAAAACCCCAAAGTCACTGAAGCATCACCATGACTGTAGACTCGTTACGAGATAACCTTATATTATCCCCGGTACTGAATACATAGGAATTAAGTAGTCAAATTGTCTACCGTCCAAATTGAATATTTCTGTGAAATCTGTGAGTGAGATAAATGTATAAAACTATGTGATGAAGTTTATATTATCGATTTACTGCAAAACTGTATAACGTTTAAACTTTCTAATCAAATTGTAATAAATTCTAATAAGACATTTAGTACATTATTTGTCATGTTTGATTTGGATAGTCATGTTATCTCACAGATGATATGGAAGTATAATTTCCTCTTAAAATGAAGTAAAGAATCCTTATAATAGATTTAACCAATCGTTCTAAAGAGTTGGATTTATTGTTTAAGAAGGAAATTAAAAAAGTCGTCGTCTTCAAATACAAATTGACCAATTAGAACAAGAAGAAATGAATCTGGCAACAACGTTTTTTGAAGTTTAATTTGAAATGAACTATACGGTGTATCTGCCAACTTCGGAAAAGATTAGCCATGTAGTTCCTGAAGAGAAAACATGTTTTCCCCATTAGGTGTAATGAGATAAAATTGAGAATGGAAATGGGGAATGTGTCAAAGAGACAACAACCCGACCACAGAACAGACAACAGCAGAAGGCCACCAACAGGTCTTCAATGCAGCGAGAAATTCCCGCACCCGGAGGCGTCCTTCAGCTGGCCCCTAAACAAATATATATACTAGTTCAGTGATAATGAACGCCATACTAAACTCCAAATTGTACACAAGAAACTAAAATTAAAAATAATACAAGACTAACAAAGGCTAGAGAATCTATTTGGCATCGATGCCTCCATATATGCCACCAATTATAGTGGCATACATACATGTACATCATATAAGTATGAAATGAGCATTCATTGAAGTGTGTCTTAAAACTGTATGAACAGGTTTGTCTTCTAATTTCAGAGAAAAGGAAACTAGATAAAAGAGGGACGAAAGATACCAGAGGGACAGTCAAACTCATAGATCGAAAACGAACTGACAACGCCATGGCTAAAAAATAAAAAGACAAACAGAAAAATGATAGTTCAGATGACACAACATAGAAAACTAAAGACTAAGCAACACGAACCCCACCAAAAACTGGGGGTGATCTCAGGTGCTCCAGAAAGGTAAGCAGATCCTGTTCCACATGTGGCATCCGTCGTGTTGCTTATGTTATTACAAAATAGCCGAATCAGATACATATGACAGGCAACATATTTTCCCATGTTTGAATGAGATGATGTCATAAAAATAATATACCTTTCTGGCAAATTATTACACATTAGCCATTGCCGTCCAACCAGCAAGAACTAAGAAGTTGTTTTATAACAAGTTTTCGAATCAACAGTTCTAAGTTTAAAAGATTCAAGCATTTTCAGAGAAGAAAATAAACTGTTGACACAGAGATATGTCTCGCCTGTCTGCAGAAATTTGAAAAAGGCAACAATATTGCAACAATTCAAAGTCGCTGTACATATGGGGCAGGGCCTTGAAATAGATGCAGACTGATATGAACGCATAATAATGCAACTGTATACAAAGATCATTGAGCTATCCCCAAGTACTGACTTAGGCAGAAAACGTTAAAATTGTTGACTCATTATCCTCCGACGTCACCGCCGGAAAGCAATACCTATGTTTCGCTTTCCGCGACTTTCGTCGCAGGCGAGACAACAATGAAAATTTACCAATTAAATCAAGTTTTGCAGCAGTGTTCCATCAAATTCGAGTTGTGAACAAGCTAGTCCCCACATGGACCATAGGACACAGTGAGTATGGCGGCATAAAAATGTTACATACATTTTGTAATATTAACTAAAATACATCCTTCACAGACGTTCTTACACGAGCTACATGACGGGTGCCATATGCGGACCAGGATCTTCTCATCCTTTCAGAGCACTTGAGATCACCACAAGTTTTTAGTGGGGTTAGTGTTGCTCATTCTTTAGTTTTATATGTTGTGTTTTGTGTTGTTTGTTTTTGCTCGTTTTTTCGTATTGTCAGTTAGTTTTTATATTCTCTCAGTTTAAATATCCCTTTGATATCTTCTGCCTCAACCTAACAAATTAAACCTTAAACAGTTCCAATTTGTAGGTCTTTGTTTGGTTTTTTGTCCCTGAAGAATTTACATGAATGAAAATGCTTGTTTGAATGTCAACACCACTTTTGGCTGAAAATATTGGCTTCATAAACACTGATTGTCCTTCTGAATCAGTGGTCTTTCCATAAAGTTAGACTGTTTATGTTATATTTCCTATTTTGTAACCAGTTTTTCAGTGATTTTTGTCGAGCCTTCGACTTTTGTCGAAAAAGCGAGACATAGCGATCCTACATTCCGTCGGCGTCGGCGTCGTCGTCGTCGTCGTCGTCCGCGGCGGCGTCCACAAACATTCACTCTGTGGTTAAAGTTTTTCAAATTTTAATTACTTTCTCAAACTATCCTGGATTTCTACCAAACTTGGACAGAAGCTTGTTTATGATCATAAGATAGTATCCAGAAGTAAATTTTGTAAAAAAAAAATTACTGTTTTTCCGTATTTTACTTATAAATGGAATTAGTTTTTCTGCCAGGAAACATTACATTCACTCTGTGGTTAAAAGTTTTTAAAATTTTAATAACTTTCTCAAACTATCCTGGATTTTTACCAAACTTGGACAGAAGCTTGTTTATGATCATAAGATAGTATCCAGAAGTAAATTTAAAAAAACAAATTCCTGTTTTTCCGTATTTTACTTATAAATGGACTTAGTTTTTCTGCCAGGAAACATTACATTCACTCTGTGATTAAAAGTTTTTAAAATTTTAATAACTTTCTCAAACTATCCTGGATTTCTACCAAACTTGGACAGAAGCTTGTTTATGATCATAAGATAGTATCCAGAAGTAAATTTAAAAAAAAAAATTCCTGTTTTTCCGTATTTTACTTATAAATGGACTTAGTTTTTCTGCCAGGAAACATTACATTCACTCTGTGATTAAAAGTTTTTAAAATTTTAATAACTTTCTCAAACTATCCTGGATTTCTACCAAACTTGGACAGAAGCTTGTTTATGATCATAAGATAGTATCCAGAAGTAAATTTAAATTTTTTTCCATATTATACTTATAAATGGACTTAGTTTTTCTGCCAGGAAACATTACATTCACTCTGTGGTTAAAGTTTTTAAAATTTTAATAACTTTCTTAAACTATCCTGGATTTGTACCAAACATGGACAGAAGTTTGTTTATGATCAAAAGCTAGTATCTAGAAAGAAATTTTAATTAAAATTTTGTACTTGTTTATCCATATTTAACTTATAAATGGACTTAGTTTTTCTTCGAGTTAACATTACATACAGTCTGCAGTTAAATTTTTAAAAACATTTATTAGATTCATAAACTATCCTTGATTTTTACCAAACTTGAACAGAAGCTTCCTACAATAAAAAAATTTATCGAGAGGAATATTTTTATTAAATGTCTTCCTCATCTCATTTTTGTTGAGCCTGCGATTAACAGCAAAAGTAGGCGAGACACTGGGTTCCGCGGAACCCTTACGAATTTTAGAAATGAGAAATTGAATTCAAATGTGAGGTTTTTATATTAGGTAATGGTAATGTTAAACCATCAACATTCCTCATGAGTTAATTAATAATACAACAGACATTCTATTGATTTAACAATCTCACATCTTCCATGAGTAAGTATGGTTATCAAATCATGTATTAGTACTGAAACATGCAATGAAATATGTTAACTGCGAATTCGTTCTCATATTCATCTGTAAACAAATGTTACAACTCAATCAAAATTCATTTCATGTTTTTCACAAACATTTCTATACATATAAATAAAATGGGGAAATATCCAACCAATCCATAAATTTGAACATTTAAGGAAAATCAGAAGTCATTGCGTCCTTTTTTCAATATATTTTGGTCTTAACTTTCAAGTGTCGGGTTATTACGATACACACTTAAAATGCTGCCAATTCAGCATGTTTGATTATGAACAAAAATGGCTCATTGAAACAAATAATGACTGAAAATACTGTACAGGCTGTCAAAACAGAACCTGGCATGAAAACCTTTTCAAACAAAATATTGTATCAGTACAATCAATGAATATTCTATACTAATTTTGAAAACCAAATACCATTCCAAACTATTCATCCCAAAATGGGTTCAGTATTTGCAGGTTTGTGCGTTACGAAAAGATTATTTTATACTCTGATACAAAAGATATGGCAGTTATCAGTAAATCATGTACCATTGTACTCATTTAACTGAATTTTAGCTCAATAAAAAAACTAGGCTTAACCCATCATTTTCTTTGGAAAATGCCTGTACCAAGTTAGGAATATAACACTTGTTTTTTTTCATTTGTTCTGTTGGTTCAAATCGTCTTATGTTTGATTTAGTCAGGTTTTATGGACTTTCCCTTTTAAATTTGCATTGGAGTTTGGTATTTTCGGTTATTTGTTTTTTTGTTCATCTCTTTTCCTATAATGTATATAGGCACTAGGGTAAGAAAGATAAAATAGATCCGCCCATAAATGAGTTCAAGGCATTTACACAGACATAGTAGTGTGTTTTTACAAGTTTTCTTTGCAAGCATAACTCTGAATGAAATGAAAGTCAATTAGTTCTGGATCAATAATGTTTTATGAAGACCTCACGAGTTTATTTGGGTATAGAAATATAATCATCTGAATTTCTATCCACTCATTCTGGCAGTTAAGGCCTTACAAAAAAAGGGAAGCTGTTTGGCTTTGTTGGATGAATAAACTTGTTGCCATGTCTGGTCTATAAAGGGACATTAAATCTGAAGCCTTGTGTAGAGAAAGTGCCGTAGACTCTACATGTTTAAGAACTCTTGCAAAAACTATCTGAGTAGTCATAGGTGGCCTATTCCAAGG